GCAATGATAACATATTCTCTGACGAAATAATGGAAGGCGCCCCCCCGGGAACGCGCCTTCATGTCCCCAGTGAAATAATAGGTACTGATATATCTAGTGTCCCCGAGGGACATGAGTGACATAATAGGGCAATGATAACATATTCTCTGATGAAATAATGGAAGGCGCGCCCCCGGGAACGCGCCTTCATGTGAATAGTGAAATAATAGGTACTGATATATCTAGTGTCCCCGAGGGACATGAGTGACATAATAGAGCAATGATAACATATTCTCTGATGAAATAATGGAAGGCGCCCCCCCAAATGAGATTCAAACTTGGCTTACAATTGTACCAGATCCATTGCTATTGAGGGACTCAGGTCGTCCAAAATCTACTAGAATACATTGTGATATGGATATTCGGGAGAAGTCAACAGAACAAAAACGATGTGGGCATTGTAGAAACATCGGGCACAATAGAAAAAAATGTCCAGCTCTGTTATCATCATATAACCGTTAACTCTTATGTAATTAATATTGTATTTAAATGAATGTTTTTGTTTCTAATAATTTAATGTTATTGCATTTATATAATTTGTCAATGTATGTACACCTAAATAATTTTTTTTAACTTTTAAATACATAAATATATTTAATATATTTATTTAATATAATAATTAATATTATTAGTTATATATTTTTTTAAAATATAATAATAATTCCACCTTCTAAGTAGAGAAAAATATAAATTAAACAAATTAAAAGTTATTAAAAATTTTATGTATACAATGACACATTTCATGTTCTGATTGGAGGATTAAATTTATTAAATTAAATTTTCAATAAGACTAATTTTATAAAATATGTAAGTCTTGAAGATTAAATATGTAATTATACTAATTTATTAACTTATGCATCAATATTTTCGTTAAATATTTATATGAGATGACTAGATTGATAACATTTAAATAATTAACTGATAAAATTAATAGATCGATAATCAAAATCAAAAATAATAATATAACCATATGTGTAATATTATAATTTCATACATTTTTCCTATAACTACAATAAAGTCAAAACTGGTTTTCATATATTGTTATATCATATTAATGTAGATAATTCACTCCACCTTTAACACACATTAACAAAATACATTTAATAATTCTTACATTATAATCGAAACATTTTACATAATATATTATTAATTTATAATAATAATAAAAATAAACTATTTATTATAAAACAAAATACGTGTCTGCTGAGTTGGCAAAGGCGCGTCTCCGGGGACGCGCCTTCCACACGTGGCATCCAACTCAGCGAAACCGCGGGTAAAGCGCGTCCCCGGGGATACGCCTTTGCCAACTCAGCAAAAAGAGTGCTACTTCTGAAAATATTGATCAAACAATGTCAGAAAGAAAAAATTTAAAGCAAACGGTATCAATTATGTAATTTAGTCTGTTTAAAGACCAAGACACTTTGTGGTCCAAAATTTTCAAAGAGAAATATCTAAAAAAAACACAAATTTCATGGAAGCTGAAAACCGCTCTACAAGCTCTTCGACTTGGAAAGGTATCCTTAAAAGTTAAAACCGGTGGTATTGTGAAACAAGGCTGTAAACATCAAATAAGATCTGGATATCAGACTAGGCTTAGGCACGATTGGTGGGTGGGATCATCAGGTCTCATCAATGATTATCCAGAAAGAGAAACCTATAGGAACGAAAAAGTGGCTATCTACATATTGGAGGATAATAATTGAAAAATCACGGAGTTACAGAACTTAGTTTCGAGTGAGACAGTAAATCAGATCAGAAGCATTCCGTTACCTGTGACTAATCAGATAAGCGATTCAGATGTTATCGGCTGGGGTTATTCAAAAGATGAAAAGTTTACAGTGAAATCAACTTTTAGAGATATTGTTGATAAAATTCCACATGAACAGCAGTCGCAAAAGCTTGATTGGATTTAGAGATTGGAAACCACTGAACGCATAAGAATGTTTATTTGGCTATGGATCCTTAATAGGTTGAATACAAATGAGATTTGGGAAAGGAAAAAGATGACCCAAAATCCAAATTGCAATAGCTGCCAGGACGAAATTGAAAGCTTAGATCACTTGTTCAGAAGATGCTTTACAACAAAGCTGTTTTGGAGAAAACTGGTGTTCATCAAGGAGATCCACGTTTTGAATTAAGGTATCGTTTGGTTCGTTGGAATCCCTTACAATTAGAGAGAATTGGAATCCAATTCCACAACTTTCTCATGCTTGGTTCAAATTTTCAAATGAGGAATTGGAATCCAATTCCATCAAGGGAGAGAAAGAAAATTACATCCATAATATGATGGAATTGAAATCCGTTGGAGGATTGAATGTGAAATTTGATCATACTACCCTTATCAATATTTTGGTATTCGGGTCAGATTTTTTTTTAAATTTCAGGATCGGGTTGGATTTTTTTAAATTCGAGTTCGGGTCGGGTTGGGTTTTTTAAGTTTAATATTCGGGTCGGGTCGGGCTTTTTTAAGTGTGATTTTTGGGTCGGGTTCAGGTTTAGGGTGAAAAATACCCGACCCGACCCAGAAAAAAATATATAATTTTACCTTATATATTTAGGAATAATTACAATAATACACCTCAATATTTAATTTTTTCAATTAAGTCACTGTTTTTATTGAATAAAAATAATTTTTTTATTATTTCAGGTCGGGTCGGGTTTCTAATTCATATATTCGGGTCGGGTCGGGTGAAACTTTATTTTGGTTGGGTTGGGTCTCGAATGGAGGTTCTCTTGTTCTCGGGTCGGATTGGGTGGACCAAAAACCCGACCAAACCCAACCCATGGCCATCCCTAATTGGGATGATTTTATCTTATGATGTTTATTACTATGATTTTGATAATTTATTTAAATGAATAATCAATCAATAAAATAAAAATTTAATATTTTTAATTTTTTTATAATATATTGTTACAGGTAAGTTATAAAACAAACTAAAATTAAGCAAAAAAACAAGAAAATCAATTCTGTCATTTTATCTGACATGTCTGCAAACCAAACAGAATATGAAATTGGATTCCAATTCAATTTCCTGCCAACCAAACAGATTTCAAATTCCAATTCCTACAGATTTCAATTCATTCACAGATTTCAATTCTCTCAGGAATATTCTAACGAACGAAACGCCACCTAAGCGATTTTAAAGAATGGCTACAGGGAAACAATACTTCCAAAAGAACGAGTTTTGAAGGAATCAGCTGGGGAATTCTTTTCAGAACAATTAATTGGGGGCTATGGAAGGAGAGAAACAATAAAATCTTCAAGAACAGCACCAGGAACCCAACAGAAATTATGCAAAATAACCTTAACCTAGCATGATCATATTATAATAATATGAACCCCTTCGTTCGTATCTACATTTCATAAGAAAATGATGTAGAATGATTGATGGCAGTGTAGTGGAAGTTGCCTTTGCATCAAACTTTTTATAATTTTTACTATTACACTCTTAACAGCCAAAATTTTATTTTGCTTTACAAGAGGTTCGTATTCTGGTTTTATAATAATTCATTAATTTTTATATGCATTTATAACCCTAAACCCCCAAATTTCCGTTCCTTTTTTTCTAATTGGATGTTTGTCGATCATTATAGATAAGGAGCATTTGAGCGCGTTTAACTCCTTAACAGATATCTTACGTGGCACTTAAAAAATAATACAAAAGCCAGGGGTCGTCTTCTTCTTCTTTACGTGCATCCAGGAGTTTGCAGTGTGGGTATTTCTCATGATATTATCTTGGCTTACATGCAAAATAGAGAGCGCGTTTAACTCCTGATCACGGTTTCCTGATTTGAATGACCATTCTGGGGTTCATCAGAGGAAATGGTGAAACGGTTAAAGAGATAACCCAATAATCTAAGGATTATTATCACTATGAAATTAATTCAGTACTTTCTTCTCATGATGATGCAGAACTAGCCAACGCTAAAGCCTGAAAGTAATTAATATTACTCCCTAATTTTTCATGGGAAAGTATTTGTATTAAGGCAAATGTCGATAATGATACGTTTGGTTGATCTTTTTTTTTTTGAACTCGTCTGGAACGCTTTCATTTGAAGATAGGTTACGGTTACAATCTTCATCTCAACTAAAGCTCAAAACCCAGAAACATGTGAATGACAACCCAGAAAAGATGAAATCAAAGATTACAAATCAGACTCTAAACATTACCATTACAAGCTGCTGGCCATTTAGGGGATAATCAATAAACGAAACCAAAGTCGCCATTGTCGAAGTTAAGTGTATTACTAAAAAGAGAAGAAAGATATTTATGGAGAAATGGTGAAGGTGATGGGTTGGTCGCTTTCCAACTGGGAAGAGGTGGTTTTTTTTTTTTTTTTGCAGAGGACGACGATGTTAACTGGGAAGGTGATGGGTTAGTCGACTAGATCAAGATTGAACATCTGATTGTAAAGCATATCACGTTGCCCTTCACAGCCATCAAAATCCATAAACATCAGATACAATGAAATAGAAATACAATATCACTGCAAGTTTTTTAACTTTATGAAAATAATAGTGAAAAATGACAAGTTCATAGAAGAAGAAGAAGAAGTATTTATATTAAAAGTTTATGCAGTAAGAAGAAGGCCGTGGATTTTTTTTTAAAATTTTAATTATCACATAATATTTCTGTTAAAAGGTTCTTGAGGGTAAACGATAAAGGGATTAAAATTGAACATATTAATAACATTAGGGATCATAATAGAACGAATGGATAATATTAAAAATTATTTACTCTAATACTATATTAGCATTAATCATCATATGCAAAATCCCCTTTTTCTTTTTTAAAGCTGGACTTTCTTTTTCGTAAATGCTCCGTAGCTTCCTACAAATCTCGAAGAAGCTGAAAGTAAAAGACAAAACAAATAATGAGCAAAAAGTAGGGGAATAGGCGTGTGGACCCAAGCAGAAGCCAGTTAGGTCCTAAGGCAAAGATTCTCGTCCTCTTTCTTTTCCAATATGGACAGTAATCATACCTTGGATTGACTTTAGTAAACTTCCCATGAAAGTTTCTTCCCAGTAGCAGATGTTTAAAAAATTGCCTTTAAACACGAAAATCAGTGATCAGTTTAGGGGCAAATAAGTGGAGAACACTAGCAATGGATCGGACGCATAATAGTGATGAAACCATATATGTTGCAGTGGGGAAAACAGTAGAAGAAAGCAAGCACATTTTATCATGGGCGTTGAACAATCTTTGCCCCGCAAAAATTCGCGTTCTTCATGTTCATCAGCCTGCCAGCTTCATCAACTTGAGCCTCAACATGAGTAAGTTCAAATTGGGCGTCTTCACTTCTTTGAAATATGTCAAAATTTTGATGATTTTTTCTTTCTTTCATTTTTCGGTGTTTTAGGTCGTACGAGTTTTTCAAGCAGGCTTCAACCACAGGAATATGGGAATAAAATTTTAGATAGGGTCATGGATGATTACCTTCTTATATGTGAACAAAGAAGTGTAAATATCTCTTCTTTTTTTCCTTGAAGGAATTTGTTTTAGAAGTTGAAAGCCATTTTGCTGCTAATGTTTTTGGCCTTTGTTTATGTCTTTTCGTGTAGGTGCATGCGACAAAGCTAAATATTGAGATGGATAATGCTGCAAAGGGGATTGTTGAGCTAATCCGTGATTACAACATCAAGAAACTTGTCATGGGAGCTGCAGCTAACAAGCATTTTTCAGAGTACAAACTAATTTGTTCGACTTTGATTATTTTTTCCTGAAACCTATTTTTGTTTTACAACTATGCTAGTGCCCAAATTGGCCTCAACATTGCAGGGGAATGACTGATCTAAAGTCTGAAAAGGCTCAGTACGTGGATCTAAACGCTCCAACTTCCTGCAAAATTTGGTTTATTTGCGCGGGGCAACTCGTACGCACAAGGTTCGCCGATCGATTATAGTCTTGTTTTTATTCTGTTCTGAAGTTTCTGCATTCCTATTTTAACTACTAGTTGCTGTAGGTCGCTTGTTGAAACTGGAAAATCACACCTGAGTGACCCTTCTTCCAGTTCTAGTTATTCGACATTCTCAGGCAAAGTGACTAGCAATTCGGATCTATCTGCGTCTGAGACACCGGGCGATAGTCCGGACTGGCTTGAGTTCCATGTACTGCTCTAATTAGGCGAAGTTATTGATTACTTTAATAGCTTGCGTCAATGAACTAAACATATACATCTAGCATCTGATCAGATTAATCCTTCTGCAAATTATTTTTTATGGTTTATGAGTTTTCCCAGGAAGGAAGCAGTGATGATGATAAACACTTTGATAAGCTTGAACAAGCTCTAGTAGTGATTGCTGAAAATTCAAATCAAGAGGCATTGGACGAGTTGGATAGGCGTATGAAAGCTGATAAGGATGCTCTTAAAGCTGTAATACGCCAAGTAATGTCCTCTTTCTTGATTTTACTCTTCTTTCCTCTCAATTTGTGTGTATATATTTGCCTCAAACCTATAGAGTTATAATTGATTGTTGCATTGAGACATGTTTCTACTAATTCTTATAGGGAAGAATGGATAAAATTAAGTAGACATTTCATGTTACTGCTTATTCTGTCTATTTTGATGGATATGTACTGTATCAAGTTTTGGCTCGAAGTTCCAATTACCCGGTTTCCGACCTGAGGTTTTGGTGTTTTCGCCAACCGATAGGTTTCAAAACTGCTTTTTCTGATCCCACAACTCTATAATGATAGCCATTATCGACTTGCAGGTGAGTGAAATGAAAAGCTCATATGTTAGAGAGTTGATACGCCGGAAGGAAACCAAAGCAACACTTCGGAAGCAGAACGAGGATCTTGAACAGATCAAGCAGCAGAGAGATGAAGCACGCAACATTGCCAGAACTCAAAAGTTATTATTAGATAATCAAGGTGCCAACTCTGATCGTGTTGAAGTATTGGAAGCTAAGGTTTCATCAGCAGTGGACCAGTTAAAAGTTTGCGAGAGAGAACGAGATGCGTTGCAGATAAAGCTTGAAAACGCTTGCAAGCTAATTGAAGATCACTTTATGAAACAGGAAGAAGACACTTCCAATGTTCATATGCAGCAATTCTTCTCAGAGTTTTCCGTTGCCGAAATTCATGGTGCAACTGAGGATTTTGACCCTTCCTTTAAGATTGCAGAAGGAGCATATGGGAGCATTTATAAATGTACCCTTCGTCACACCGAAGTGGCTATAAAAGTGCTCCATCGAAATAGCTTACAAGGGCCATTGGAATTTCAGCAGGAGGTAAGCTAGTATCATCTGAATTATTGCTTTTAGTGACCTTGATTTCAAAATTTTGAAGGCAAGCATGACCTCTCAATCCCAAGATAACTGAAACTTACAAGTTATTCAATATATATATATATATATATTCAGGTTGATATTTTGAGTAAGCTGAGGCATCCAAACCTGGTCACACTAATTGGTGTATGCCCGGAAATATGGGCTTTGATCTATGAATATCTTCCTAATGGAAGCCTTGAAGATCGTTTGAGCCGCAAGGATAATACTCCCCCATTGTCATGGCAAACTCGGATACATATTGCCACTGAGATATGTGCTGCGCTTGTCTTCCTACATTCCAGTAAGCCTCAAAGGTTAGTTCATGGAAACTTAAAACCTGGGAATATACTCCTTGATACCAACTTTGGCTGCAAACTTAGCGACTTTGGAGTATGCCGTGCACTTTCTTCTCTTGAGAATTCAAGTGATACGACCAATATAAGCCGCAGATTTCCTTACCTGGATCCTCAGTTTTGCTCCACAAGAACATTGACTCCTAGTTCTGATAGATACCCGTTTGGCCTTATATTACTACAGTTGATTACTGGGAAACCACCCGTGCTTTTAGCAGAGAAAGTACAATCTGCAATAAATGGACAATATCTTATTGACTTATTGGATCCTTCTGCTGGAGGCTGGCCTTATGTACAAGCTGAGCAGTTGACTCGCTGGGCTTTGGGATGTTGTGATCCTAACCAAAGTCGTCGACCGGACCTTGAAGACTTTTACAAGATACTTGAGCAGATTAGAAATGATATTGGACCCTTAACAACATTCCATGCGGGGTCTAATGAGCATAACCAGCCTCCTCATTACTTCATTTGCCCCATTTCACAGGTTAACTTACGTCATGCCATTTCGATTGTCGTATTTATCACTTACCAGGACTAATCAGCTACTTTGTCACGCAACATATAAACGAGAATATGTCTTAAGGGTCTACATGTATGATTGGTTTGCTTATGTTTGCAGGAGGTGATGGCTGAACCATACGTAGCAGCCGATGGATACACGTACGAATTACGAGACTTGCGGAGATGGCTGGATAGTGGTCACAATACCTCTCCTGTGATCGGAAATCAGCTCCCTCATCTCACTCTCAACCCTAACTATGTGCTTCGTTCAGCAATCTTGGAGTGGCGGCAGCAGCAACAGCAGCAGCAGCAGCAGCGTTAACTGAACGTTGTACATGGTGTTGATCCTTGGCACTGTTTTCTTCATGCTGCTGTTACTTGTTCCAGAGATATCCGATTAGTGTCCTTTTCCCCATGTTCTAAGCTGCATGCTTCTACTTTCTTTAGTCTTGGTATCCTCGTTAGTTGCCTAGCAAAAAGGAAAAATATATCTTAATTTGCTAAGTCGGTACTTTCATGTCGTTGCTAGTTTAAATACTATGTATATACGTGCACATAAATATTATATATATATATATATGAATGGAATTTTATGTTATATTATTTATACTTTTTAGTTTTATACTTGTTTAAATAGAGAATTAGCTGTGAAATAGCTTAAAACTAGTCTGTTAGAGGTTGATTTTTAAACGTGTTAATTTTATTTGATAAAATAAGAATTTAATTGAAAAAAGATCGAGAATAGTTTAATTGCAGTTATTCTTTAATATATAGGATAATTATATTATTTTTTGTTCGGATAGGGTAAGATATCTTTGACAACTAAATTTAAAGTCGATCTAAATTTATACTCTAAAAAGTTCATTTTAAACTTAATTTTTTATTTTAAAAAATATCCGATTCGATAAAATTGAATTAAATCAAAATCCGTCAATACGGTCCCATGATCCCATCCATATTCTCTACAACTTAAAAGGGTAAAAAACTGGTTCTTTCTATAAGCCATGACTGGCCATATTAAGTTGGTTATTGGCTGCATTCGTTTCTAGCCATTAAAATGAGCCACGTTGTCAATACAGGATGGACCTGAGTGGCTGTAACAAACCGGGGAATTTTTTTTTTAATCTTCAAAACTTGTAGGTAATATTAGAAGTGAAGGAAATTCAGGGACCAAGCTCTGAATTACTTCTTTTAGTGTCGGCAAAAAATTTAATATATACGTATGTATGGTTTTCTGTTTTCAAAACAGAAAACAATTGTGAAATTCCTCCTCACTCTACTTTAAAGCCTGACTCCAACGCCGTCTGACCTCCGACCGTCAAATTAAAACCACCATCGTGTTCATCTTCGACCCGTGAACAAAATCCAGTAAATCAATTATAGCGAAACGCTGCCAAACGACGTGAATTTCGAGTCAAAGTCTCGACCTTTTTTTAGCACTACCGCCGAGAAAATCTTAAATTCATCTCCGATCGTTGATCAGTTTTCGACACCTCCCGCACCATCGTGTTCCTTGTGCCGTTTCAAGTCCGCCGGTGTCAACCTTGGTCTCTGTCGACGACGGCGCGTGAGGAGGTGGAGCAGTCAAAGATTCGGCCGAGTTGAAATCGAGCTCTCCGCCGTTCAAAAATTTGAACCGATCTTTGTAAGTATCTTAAAATCGCTCAAAATAATTTTTAAAAATTTTTCCGTAATTTTTAGACCCCCGGAGGAGGCCTCACGCGCCGCCGCAGGGAGAGTGAGTGGCTGAAAACCGGTTTGACCGATTTTGACCGGTTTGTTCGGTTTCGACCGGTTCGAACCGATTTGACCGGTCTGAACCGGTCTGACCCGACCCGACAGTTGACCCGACCCGACCCGACCGTTGACCGTTAACTTCCTTTGACCAAAACTTAAAATGGCTTTGACCGACCATTAAACGACTGTTAATCTTTTCCGCGTATACCTATTCTGATAGTTTTCGACGTCCCGAATCCGTTTCTGAAGTCCGTTTCATCAAATTCGAACCCGAAGGCCTCCCAATCGACGGTCAAAGTGGTTGACTTTGACTTTGACCAAGAATTTAAATTTTCAAAAAGACATACTTTATGTTTTTCGACGTCCTGATTTTGATTCCGCAATCCGTTTGGCCAAATTCAAACCCGAAATCTTCCAAATTGATAGTCAAACCATGAAAATGCTTATATACTTAAGAATTTAGCTTTGAACAATTAAGTAAGATTTGAGGCTGATAAATTATTATTGTTTTAAGGTACAAGAGACTCTCCGTATCGTTCGACAGCTCGACCCAACTCTTCTAGATCAATTAAACCACGTGTGCCAGTATTCACCCGTAAGACCCGTAAATTTTATGATTTTAGAGATTTATTTATGTTACCCATAAGTAATATAGTGTTATTATAAAATAGGTTCAAAAATTGTAGCAGAGCGTGGTGAAACCAGCAATCAGTAGATCTACTATTTGAACCTATTATCGAGGTGTGTTCCCTAATTATTACTGAACTGTTTTATTGGTTTTAATATGAGGTACACTGAGTTCTTTGGTTACTGTTTTATTGATGCACCAATTTAATGTGATGATTTATGGAATTTATGTCACGGTGCAATTGAACTTTTGGATTGAATCACAATAGTATAGCTCTGATCAAGCTAATAAACAGAATGGGCCTAATGTGACTCTTGGGGCCCCAAGATACATTAGGTTGGCTTCCCTTGCTGTGTGCTTAGGGTAAGCTATATGGACTTGGTCTTACGGGCTTAAGGATACAAGCTATAAAGCTTATCCTTATGTTGGCTTTCTTTTTGCTGTGTGCTTAGAGTAAGCTATATGGAAAATAGTTTTGGAAATTACTGATGGTGTACAAGAAAAGAGTTTAAACTATGATTTTCAAAAGTTAAACTCTTTTATGAATTTATGAGATTTACTGGACTATGATTTGTTTAATGTACCTATTGTGATTTTAAGGTAATATTGGGACACACTGAGCCTAGCTCACCTTTCGAAAATGTTTTTCCCCCTTTCAGATACTGTTGGTTAGATACATCAGTTCGAGCACTTGGAGGATCAACATATCTCTTGAAGTATATCAGATTGTAATGTTTTATCTTGCTAGTTGACTTTATTTTGGTGACATGGACCTTATTTTAAAGTATCGTATTTTAGGATGATGACACTTTTGCTATTACTGTTCGGTTTATTGTGATTTTGATTTTGAAGACTTGTTTTAAATTAATTTATTACTTATTGGTATTATATTTACAAGTTGGGTTTTGATGGTATAATTTATTTCATGACATTTATAATGTGATTTTACATTGAATGAATAACGGTTTCAGAAAATGTCTTTAAGAATCATAATGTGATCCACTAGACTTAGTCGAAACGCATAGGCCGGGTCTAGGGGGTTACATTTATTGGTATCAGAGCTTTTGGTTTTTAAACCGCGGACTGTGTATGAGTCCACATTGAAAATACAGTTTTAGAAATATTTTACAAAACAAGTTACTAAGGCCATGTCACAAATTATTAAGATTTTAACTGTGTTCGAGACTCCAAGTGCTTGTCTAACCCTAAGTTTTATCTCCTGTAGTAAACTCGAGATCCACAAAAAAAATATGAGTTCTAGACGTGGTCGTCGAACTAGCCGTGGACGAGGTCGAGTGGCTAGATTTACAGACCTGATCGATGAGATACGAGTAGATCCCCCACCTCCGATAGGTGATCATGCTCCTACGACCCCAACGAATCTGCCTCCTGCCGCTGGTATTGGCATGACTACACCGATCATAGGAGCGACCGATATTGAGTCAGAGTCTACCGGAGTTGCTTTGGATGAGAATTTTGGTAGACAATTTCTGCAGTTGATACAGGGAGCAGTCAGAGCTACTGGTGTTGTATCAGAGGTTTCTATTTCGTAGACTTTGATTGCCAATGGAGTTAGAACTTTTGGGGGACAGATTGGTGGAGCTTCTACTGAAGCTGAGGATTGGCTCCAAGATACAGAGAGACGCATGGATCAGTTGGGTTTAGACTCAACTAAGAGATATCAGGGTGCTGTGGCGATGTTAGATGGCAATGCCTACACTTGGTGGGAGTCAGTGACCAATAGTGTTCCTACCGATCGTTTGACCTGGAATTTCTTTAAGGATCGCTTTCGGAGTCATTTCCTGGGAGAGCGCTACTTAGCTCAGAGACGTCAACAGTTTCAAGACCTGGTTCAGGGAGACATGACTATTTCTGAGTATGAGATCGAGTTCTTGAAGTTGCTGAAGTATGGATTCAGTATGGTACCCACTGAGAGAGATCGATGTCGTAAATTTGCCCTTGGACTCAGATACGAGCTGCGTAGGTAAGTTGTAACCCATCAGGATGAGATTTTTGATGTGCTGGTGGGCAGAGCCAAAGATGCTGAAGAGGTGAAAGTTTTAGCTTCTGGTAGAGAGCGTGTTGATCAGGAACGATCTAAGAAAATTTCAGGCCCTATTGAGTCATCAGCACAGTCCGGGAAAAGGACTCGTACTTCAGTCCCTCAGTGAAGCAATACACGTTTCAGACCTGCAACATCCTCACCGTTAGTTGGCAGTCGAGACGGTTCCTCGTCGTATTATCATGGGTTCCTCTGTGAGTTTTGTGGTAAACAACACACAGGAGAGTGTCGTAAGAAGATGGGTCTTTACTATCAGTGTGGATCTAGTGGTCATTTTCGGAGGGATTGTCCTCAGCTAGCTTCGTTTGAGCAGACCGCTACCCAGACTCCTATGCGTTCTCAGACTACAGTACATACCCCAAATAGAGATCGTAGTCAAGGAAAGACTCGAGGATCAGCGTTCAGGACAGACAGTAGAGCCCGACCTCAGCAAAATAGAGGGCCAACAGTTTCTGAGGCTAGACAGCCAGCTTTGGTTTATGCCACTAGACGACGGGATGACAGGGATGAGCCTGAGGTTATTGCAGGTACATTTACTATTTATTCTATCCCATACTTTGCATTACTGGACAATGGCTCCACCCACTCCTATGTATCGAGCTCGGTATCTCGAAACCATCAGATTCCGATCGAGAACACTGAAAATAATGTTACGGTTACGAGTCCAGTAGGACAGGCGATATTAGTGAATAAAGTATTTCGGCGTTGTCCTCTCGAGGTTCAGGGAGAAATTTTTCTCGCTGATCTTATGGAGCTTCCTTTAGAGGAGTTCGATCTAATTCTTGGGATGGATTGGTTGAATAAACACAAGGTAAATCTGGATTGTGAATACAAGAGGGCTACTCTAAAGACTTCAGATGGTCGGACTGTTGTGTTAATTGGTGAATGGCGTGGCTATCTCTCCAATATAGTTTCAGCGATGGAAATTGATCGTATGATCCGAAAGGGATATGAGACTTTCATTGCTTTTATTTTGAACACTAAAGGTTCATTGTCCACGATCGAAGAGATTCGTACAGTTAGCGAGTTTCCTGATGTCTTTCCAGAGGAGTTACCTAGTTTACCTCCTGATAGAGAGGTAGAGTTCGAGATAGAGACTTATCCGGGATCTGCACCTATTTCTATGGCACCTTATCGCATGGCTCCAAAAGAACTTAAGGAGTTGAAGGTCCAATTGCAA